CTGTGGTTGACCTCAGGGGGGAGGGAGGGGGAGGGGCATGGCCAACTGGGTAGGTGTGTCCAACTGGGTGGGCGTGGTCATCTTGATGCTGTGAGAAATAAGTAAATTCAAAAATAAAATAGTATATAAGACGCGTAAAAGTTTCACAAACGGGGGTTGGACTAGATGACCTGTAGGGTCCCTTCCCTCTCTGTGAATCTGTTATCAAATGAAATATATCTCCTTGTATCTACATGCTTAGCTTTTATACTTTTGACATGCTCCATTAAGCCTTTTTATATTTTTATCTTATGCATATGCCTTTTATATTATTATTATTATTATGTTTGGAGGGGGGTTGTCATAATCTCTTTGGAAAAATGGTAGTATCTGATGAGCTTTTAAATTGTGTCTTCAGAAGTTAGAAAGAGGCCCCGATGAGAGGATACTACATTCCTTAACGCTAAGGAAAGATGCCACGTGGGCAGCCAAAGTGAGAGGTATGGAGGGGTACAGATGAGAACATAATGGAAGGAGATAATTGACCCTAGAGACATCCTAGGATTAGCTGCAACACCTGAGAGCAAATCCAATGAGTTTGAAGTTGGGAGGGAATGAGTCTCAAAGAAGGAGGGAACTTGGCCGATGAGATGAAACTGTATATGAAGTATGTTTTGAGGTTCCAAAGGTGTGGCTTTTGATTTTGAACCTGCTTTTTGAGGTTCTAAAGACCACCAGTGCTTTGCAAACTGTCTAATATTTCTTTTAAATAAATCCTCTTTGATTTCAACGATCCAAGGTTTTTTTGTTGGCTCTGAGTTATTTCCAACAATGCCACTTCCCAAACTGCTGGCATGTTTCCTCTTTGCATTGAGTAGACCGGGCCGAAGCCACACAGGCCTGATATTTCTCCTCTTTGCACTGGGTAGACTGGGCCAAAGTCATGCAGGCCTGATATTTCTCCTCTTTGCATTGGGTAGACTAGGCCAAAGCGACATGAGCTGGCCCCTTATATTTTCCAAGATGATCCCATGGGCCGGATCCAGCCCAAGGCCTTGAGTTTGACACCCCTGCTTCAAAACAAAGTTAAAAGGTTGGGCTTCTACACAGCATTTGGTTCAAAATGCATTTGAATACATGAAGACTGAAAAAAAAATCAGACTCTTTGGGGATCTAAGTCCACAGGAAATCATAGGCCAATTTGGAAGCCAGGCAACTCAATTGCTCAGACTATAGGTAGTCCTTGATTTACGACCACAATCGAGCTCCAAATTTCTGCTGTTAAGGGAGATATTTGTGAAATGAGTTTTGCCCCATTTTACAACATGTCTTGCCAGTTGTTAAGGGAATCACTGCAGTTGATAAGTTAGTTACATGGTTCAGTGGTGGGATTCAAATTTTTTTACTATCGGTTCTGTGGACGTAGCTTGCTGGGCGTGGCAGGGGAAGGAGACTGTAAAATCTCCAGTCAGAGGTGGGATTTGCCGGTTCTCCAAACTACTCAAAATTTCTGCTACCGGTTCTCCAGAACTGGTCAGAACCTGCTGAATATCCACCTCTGACACGGTTGTTAAGTGAATCTGGCTTCCCCATTGACTTTGCTTGTCAGAAAGTTGCAAAAGGGGATCACGTGACCTTGGGACACAGCAATGGTCATAAATACAAACCAACTGCCAAGCACCTGAATTTTGATCACCTGATCCTGGGGATGCTACGAAGGTTGTAAGGGCGCAAAAAAAAAAAAGCTATAAAGCTTATAAAGGGAAGGAATTAGCTCTCTAAGGTGGGGGTGTCAAAATGGCGCCCTGAGGGCCGGATGTGTCATGCGCAGGCCACGCCCACCCCAATCCCACGAATGGGAAAAACATCGCAAAACATCACGTGACAGCAACGTGACGCCGCGAGTTTGACACCCGTTGCCTTAAGGCAGTGATGGCTAAGCTTTCCGTCCTCGCATGCCAACACCCATAAGGCAATGCACGTGGGCCCCTCCACACCCCCTGCACATGCGCACACAACCCCCACATGCACGCCACGTGTCTGTGCATGCACGTCTGTGCATGCGCACGTGACCCCCCCTGCGCGCCCCGTGCTTTTCCGCGCATACATGTGTGTCTCCCACTCGCCCTCCACACATGCACAGCAGCTACCTGATGATCAGCTGGCGGGCGTGTGGCAGGCACACATGCACAGCGGACCTGCTCCGGGGCGACGGCTCGCGTGCTGACTAAGTTGGCTCTACATGCCACTTCCGGCACTGTGCCATAGGTTTACCATCATAGGTCCATGGGTAGGATTCTACCAGTTCGCACCTATTCGCTAGAACCGGTTGCTGACATTCTAAGCAGTTCAGAGAACCGGTTGTTAGGAGAAATTACTGGCCTAGTCCTGAACGGAAGGCAGAAAGGAAACATTCTGGTGTTGCTTACAGAAACTGCCTCTCCGTTAACCCTTATTACATTCTTGGCAGGACTAGACTTCCTGTCTCAGGAACTTCTCTGAAGTTTTTTTCCCTTCCTCTATTGGTACTTTGCTTGTGTGGAGTGACCATTCAAAGTTACAATGGCACTGAAAAAAGTGACTTATGACCGTTTTTCACACTTACGACTGTTGCAGCATCCCCACAGTCATGAGAGGCCAGGTGAGGAGATGCGTGCCTCAATGTGAGTGATGTTGAGTTGGCCATGCCCAGCCAGTCACATGACCACCAAGCCATGCCCACCAACTTAGCCAGAACCGGTTGTTAAAAAATTTGAATCCCACCCCTGCATAGATCTTAAGGGGTTGCCACAAAGAAGAAGGGCCCAAAGCACTTGAAGGCAGGACAAGAAGCCATGGATGGAAACTAATCTAGGAGAGAAGCAACTTAGAACGAAGGAGACATTTCCTGACAGTGAGAACAATTAACCGGTGGAATGACTTCCCTCCAGAGGTTGTAAAAGCTCCGGCACTGGAAATTTTTTTTTTATAAATTTTTATTGGTTTTTAAAACAAACATAAACAAACAAAACATAAAAACGTCAGGCCATCTTCCATATATGTACATACAGTGTGCCGGTTGATTTACAAATTGTTTTGTGCTTCCATTTCATAGTCTTCAATTATAATTACATTGTATATAATCTCGTATTTTCAATCAATATATTAAATACATTAATATCATTATTAATCAATCATTTGACTATACTTTTATTCATTCATGTTTTACAAAATGATCATATTTTACTTAATTTGTTTTATTGACAATTCATATTATCATCCCAGATCTATCCTAGAATCATTTTGTAGATATTATAAGAAAAGAATACATCTTTATATGTTTATTATTTTCTAAAAGACTACATATTCCATTACTATATTTTATTGTCTAACCATTGATAGAATAGATCCCAAATTTTATAAAATTGTTTATCATCTTGTTCTCTAATTTCAAATGTCAATCTACTCATTTCAGCACATTCCAATATTTTCTTAATGATTTCCTCCTGTGATGGTATTTTCTCATTTTTCCAGTTTTTAGCAAATACAATCCTAGCCGCTGTTAATACATTTACAATCAGGTATTTCAAGTCTTTACTATATATTTCAGGTAAAATTCCCAATAAAAATATTTCTGGTTTCAAATCTATATGCTTTTTTTTTTCATTTTTTCCAACCACGTGTGGATTTTAGTCCAGTATTTTTTAGCATCCGCACAAGTCCACCACATATGGTAATATGAGCCAGGTGTCTGATGACATTTCCAACATTTTTTGGATTTATTCTTGAACATTCTTGCTATTCTTGTCGGGGGAAAGTGCCACCTTGTAAAACATCTTATATAAATTTTCTTTATATGCTGTTGACATAGTCATTTTATAATTTTGAGACCACAATTTTTGCCATTTCTCAAGATCAATCCCATATCCAAAATTCTTCCCCCAAGCAATCATAGTTTCTTTAATTTGTTCTTCTTCTAGTTTAATTTCTAATAAATATCCATACAATTTTTTAATCACCTTTTCATCAGTACCTGTCAAAATCTTATCTAGGTCAGTCAATTTATCATAGAAACCTTCTGTTTTAGAATCTTTATCATACCTTGAATGTATTTGGGCATATGAAAACCAATTCATCTTTATACCTTGTTCCTCTAGTTTTTGTATAGATTTAAGTTCACCCTTTTCATTCAATATTTCACCATATCTAACTGTTTGTTCCTTTTTGTATATTATAGGATAAGAAAATGCTTTAATAGTCGATAGCCAGACTGGAATTTTCAAATAACATTGTCTTTTAATCTTCTCCCAATTTAACCACAGAGACTCCCGTATATAATGTCTCAGCACTGGAATTTTTAATGAAGAGATTGGACAACCATTTGCCTGAAATTGTATAGGGTTTCCTGCCTGAGCAGGGGGTTGGACTAGAAGACCTCCAAGGTCCCTTCCAACTGTTATTCTGTTATATTCTGTTTTTCTGAGGAAAATATTCTGGGGAAAAGTGAAAGGGCACTTCTGGGAGTCCCTGCCAATGAAACTGGACAAAATGGAGTAACAGGGATCAGCAGCTTGGCTAGGTAGAAGGGAATGATTTTGTCCTATCTTGTTGACTTGCAAGGGAAAAATTCAGAGGGTTAAACGCTTCCAATTTCTGGTGTGCCTCTTCCCAAGGATTTATAATCCTACGTCTGTCTACACTTTGTCTCTCTTCATTCCTTCTTAAATCCAAGGGACAGCTGTGGTTGTCACGCAGGGCTGACCGCTGATGTCCTTCTGCACCGAACCGCTGTGGCTGTTGTATTTCTGATGCATTTCAGAGCTGAGCACTCTTAAAATCCTGCCTCTGTAGGCTTGGGTAACATTTATACCAGAGACAAAAAGCTACAACCTCTGTGTGAAATGAATCATCCGGAGGCCGGGGTTCACTCAACACACCGTGCTCAGAAACGATGGCTTTGCAAATCCACATTGCAAAACTTTGGTGAAGCAACCGGCCACGTTGCGGTTCAGCGCGAGGTGCAAATCCAGTTCCAGGGACTCGTTGGTGGAGCATCTGTCCTGCAGGCCAGGGTTTGCCTGTTCATGTTCTCGTACTTGCACCCTTATGGTAAGTTAGAAAAGGTTACTTCCGAGGGTACGGAATGAGGCTTGTTTGTTTATGCAAGGCTGGGAAAGGGTGAGGGGAAAAACAAATTGAGTCATGAAAGGAAGCTTTAAGATGGCAGTTGTTCCAAACACAAAGCCATTTGTGTGTGAGTGTGTTTTTGGAAAATGAGAATGTGTGCTCTGCAAACATGCTGAGGGCAGTTTGTTAAGTGCTTTCAGAACTACAGGTAGTCCTCGACTTACGACCACAATTGAGCCCAACCTTTATGTTGCTAAGTGAAATATTGGTGAAGTGAGTTTTGCCCAGTAGTGGGATTCAAATTTTTTACTACCAGTTCTGTGGGTGTGGCTTGGTGGGCATGGCAGGGGAAGGATACTGCAAAATCTCCATTCCCTCCCCAGCCCACTAACCTGCTTTCCAGCTCCGTTCTCCTCTGCAGGGCAACAAAAGAAGACCCAGCCGATCAACTGGGACTCAGGAGAATAGATGGGGTTGGCGGGGCCAGTCAGAGGTGGCATTTGCCAGTTCTCTGAACTACTCAAAATTTCCGCTCCCGGTTCTCCAGAACTGGTCAGAACCTGCTGAATACCACCTCTGCTTTTGCCCCATGTTACGATCTTTCTTGCTATAGTTGTTAAGCGAATCACTGCAGTTGTTAAGTTCTTAACACGGTTGTTAAGTGAATCCGGCTTCCCCATTGACTTTGTCAGAAGTGGTCGCAAAAAGGGGGCCACGTGACATTGCAACTGTCATAAACATGAGACGGTTGCCAAGTGTCTGAATTTGGATCATATGACCCTGGGGAGCCAGGATCCCCATTGGCGCCAGGACCACCCAAGGACAACCACAGTGCTGATGCGGCCCACAATGAAATCTAGTTTGACAACCGTGGTATAGGGTCTCTCCTGCTTGAGCAGGGGGGCTGGACTAGAAGACCTCCAAGGTCCCTTCCAGCTCTATTCTGATCCTGATTCTATGGATTGTATTCATCCAATGCGGTGACTTGGTGGCTTTTATTAGCTTGTCTATTGAAGTCTGCAATGATTTACAGGTAGTCCTCGACTTACAAGTATTCATTTAGCAACTGTGGCATTGAAAAAAGTGGCTTATAACCAGTCCTTGCATCGTAAACATCCCTGAGGTTATGGGACCAAAACTCAAGCACTTTTCAACCTGTGTGAATTTACGATGGTTGCAGCATCCTGGGGTTAGGTGGTTGCCATTTGTGATCCTCCTAGCCAGCTTCCAAGCAAAGTCAGTGGGAGAAACTGGATTCACTTAAGGACTATATGATTCATTTAACAACTATTGGGTGCAGCTCACGTAACACCTTTCTTTCTAACAACAGAAATTATGGTTTCAAGTTGTGGTCGTAAATCCAAAACTATTTGTGCAGCTTAGAGCAAGATGTCAACTCAGCCAGTGATGGTTTTATCGATTGTGTTCGGTAATAATACTGTCTGAGTGCAATTATAGCTGTGACTCAGTCAACAAACCAAACCAATGTTCATTTCTGATGCTCATCTCCATTTCTTAGCTGTGGGAGCCAGTGTGGCCAGAAGACGTTCCCACCGAAGTGGTACCTATTTATCTACTTGCATGTATATGCCTTCAAACGGCTAGGTGGGCAGAAGCTTGAGGCAAGTAATGAGAGCTCACCCTGATGTGCAGTGCTGTCAGTTTTTCAGCTGACAAGCTCAGCATCTTTAACCGCTGAGCCATTGCATATCCTACTATGGCTCCAAAAAGTCAAGGCTGAACTGATTTGACTTTCTAGCTAAAGTGGGAAAAAACTATCACCCAAGGCCTTGGAGAACTGTGGTTACCATCTGGAAGCAGAGGAAGATAGATAAGTAAATACACATTTTATGGGATTACTACAAATACCATTACCATCAAAAAAGGCAGAAATTCAACAGCCTTTTCTGGGTCAGGAATAGCTTTTTGGGCCACCTGCATTTCTGCCTACTAGACAGTTGCTAGAGAATATTTACCAACACAGCCCACATGCATTAAAAAGTGTCTCTGTGGTTATAAGGGAGGGAACAATCCTATTATCTATCTTTGTCAATTGGTTATTTAACCAGCAAGCCTTCACTTGTCCTATTACACAACCTCTGACTTCCTCATTCCACAGTCCTGGGGACACAAAGCCAAGGCTTATTGTAGGATATAATATTAAAAATCATCCCATGATAGTTACTTCTACTTCTCGCAAGTCACTCGGCTGACTGTGGGCAAATTATTGGAACTGTAGTGCAATCTGCCTGATAAAGTTAGCAAAACTTTCTTGAATAAAGCAGGCTTATGAATTGCTTGGCTGCAATTGACAAAGTCATTTGGAATTTATGACTGTATAGTCAGGGACTTGCAGCAAATATTGTGCTGTGAATAATTCTTTTGATGGGTGATCAAATGGAGATGGGTGGAAGATAAATAAAGGAGCAATTTGAATGTTGAATCAACTTCCTCTCATAGCAATGAGGTTTAGGCAAGGTTCAATCATTGCTCATTGAAACCAACTCCTATTTCAGGGGTGTCAAACTTGAATTTCATTGAGGGACACATCAGGGTTGTGTTTGACTTCGGGGGGGGGGGGGGGATTCCTGGGGGGGGGGGGGGGGGGGGGGGGGGGGGGGGAACCACGGTGGGTGTGGCCAGAGTGGGTGTGGTCAGCTCAATGTCAGGGGAGCCTGTGGTGACCCAAAAGCTCTGCCAGTGAAAATGGGCTCCTGAGCTCAGTTTCTGGCTGCGACGGCCTCCTGCAACTTGTCAGGTTTCCAAGTGATGAAATCCATTTAAAAAGAAAAGAGCAAAGTCCACCTTCCAAAACAATTTATTTTATTTAGGAAAACATCAAATTGGCAAAGTCTCTTGTAATTCCAGATCTGACACAACCCGGAATTACACCACATAATATTGGGAGTTAGAAACAGCCCCCCAAAAGTCACATTCTCCAATAGAAGTAAATCAACGTTGCCTGGTGTCATCAATCTCCACCTCCAGGTCTCAGCAGGGTCAGCTTTCGTTCCCACGGGAAGGAGAACCACCTAGCCTAAACAACTCTCTCTATCTCCACTCCTCCCATCTTAGGAATGTGGCAAGCCCGAAACCCTTCCCCCCATAACCAGCAAAGAGAAAGAAAGAAAAGGAATATATAATAAGACTAAATAAAATGGCTACATGCATATCAATTTCGGGCTCGACACAACTCTCTGCAGGCGAAAACAGAGCTCCATTTTTGCTGGCAGAAGCACTGTGGGCTGGGCCTTCACTATTTCCAGGGCAGCCAGATCGAAGCACCCCATGGACCAGGTCCAGCCCCTGGGCCTTGAGTTTTGCACCCCTGTCCTACCTGATAGAGCGGTACTGATTAGTTGTTCTGTGGACTGAAGATCAGGATTACAGCTTGTCTTCAGCTTACGACCACAATCGAGCCCCAAATCTCACTCAGGGAGACAATTGCTGATTGAGTTTTGCCCCGTTTTATGATCTTTCTTGCCACCATCGCTAAGCGAATCCCTGTAGTTGTTAAGCTAGTAATAGGGTTGTTAAAACTTCCCCATTGACTTGGCTTGTCAGAATGCTTGTCACACATGACCCTGGGACACGGCGATCACCATAAATATTAGCCGGTTGCCAAGCATCCAAATTTCCATTGCGTGGCCATGGAGATGCTGCAACGGGTTATCAGTGTGAAAAACGGCCATGAGTCGCTTTTTTTTCAGTCACTAAACAAACGGGTGTAAGTTGAGACCTGCCTGTATCTAGAAGGTACAAGGCTGAGGGAAGTCTGCTCCATTCAAAGCGGTTAGTGAGAACGTCTTACTTCTATTTGGCTGATAATAGAAACAAGGCTTTCTTCTTGTACGTTCTAGTGATAAACAAGAGGAATCTGAAGGGAGGAAGAGTTTTTGAAAGTTTTGGGCCTGGTTGGGGTGTTGTTTACATCCCTTGGCTGAGCAGCTGGTCAGAGGGGCTCAGCTCCTTCCTTTTCCACCGGTGCTCATTCTTATTGTTCTATCGCCAGAACAAAGCAGACTCGAGACCGGAGTTGAATTCAGCTCTTTATTGAACTATCAGTAACTTCAACTAAAGTCGAGCCGCGGCAGCCCTTTTTATAGCGGCTGCTCACGGCTCGCAACCAATGGGATTTATTTAAAACTCCCGCCGCTTAGGAGGCCAATTAGAACTGTTGTTATCTACCAATCGCTAGGCGGCAGTATCTGTCCAATAGGAATGCAGTATTACGAGTTATGCAAAACAAGTACATAACACTTATCGACCTTGGGTTTTTAGCCTCGAGTTTTTAACCACGAACTAGTCAATCCTGTGAGCCCGAATTCTGCCACCCTTGGCCGGGAGAATTGTGAAACCCAGAGAAACCAGTTAAACTGGGGGATTGATTCCATTAGAGAAATGGGGAACAAGCAACGGGCTGGTTCTTATTTTATCACCTGTCAATCTTGGGGTGGAGGTTTGGGGTGAGGGGGGTTCTTGGCAGCTTCAGAAGCCAAAGACATTTTTACAGCATTCCCAACTTTTACTTATACAGGCAGTCCTTGACTTACAACCATTCATTTAGTGACTGTTCAAAGTTACAACATCCCTGCAAAAAGTGACGTAGGACCATTTTTCACACTTCCATCCAAGGGTGGGCGGCTACCGGTTTGCACCGGTTTGTGTGAACCGGATGCTAATTTTACATCTGGTTCGCTGAACCAGTGGTTCCGATGACTGGCTGCCCTACCGGCCCTTCCCAGGAGTCGCCACGTGGCCCGTTTGGGATCCCAGGTGAATGCAGGGCCCGCATGGAGGCTCAGGGAGGGAGAAAAACGGGCCTCCCAGAAGTTCGGGAAGGGCAGAAATGGGCCCGTTTCCAGCTTCCAGAGAGCCTCAGGAGCCTGGGGAGGCCGTTTTCGCCCTCCAGGAGGCTGAAGGAAAGCCTTCGGAGCCCGGGGAGGGTGAAAACACCCCCTTCCCGTGGTGCAGAAGGCCGACTAGGCCACACCCACCGTGGCCACGCCCACCCAACAACCGGCCAGAGAACCAGTTGCTAAACTTTTTGAAGCCCACCCCTGCTTACATCCCCACGATCATGTGATCCAAATTCACACGCTTGGAAACTGATTCATGTTTATGATGGTTGCAGTGTCCCGGGAGGTCATGTGATCCCCCTTTTGTGACCTTCTGACAAGCCAAGTCAAATCGGGAAGCCAGCTTCACTTAACAACCGGGTTTACTAACTTGTCAACTGCAGTGGTTCACTTAATAAATGTGGTAGGTCATAAAATGGGGCAAAAGTCCCTTAACAAATGTCTAACTTAACAATAGAAATGTTGGCTTCAATTGTGGTCATAAGTCGAGGACTACCTGTAATAACCTCTTTTCTGAATTCTTTGCCCCACAGCAAAATGGCAGAGCGATTGGGACTAAAAGCTTCGGCTTCCTCATTGGGAACTCTTTTGCCCTAACCATGATTATAGGTAGTCCTCGGTTTACGACCACAATTGAGCCTAAAATTTCTGTTGCCAAGTGAGACAGTCATTAAGGGAATTTTGCCCCATTTTATGACCTTTCTTGCCATGGTTGTTAAGCAAATCACTGTAGCAGTTAAGTTAGTAACATAGTTGCTAAGTGAATCTGTCTTTGCTTGTCAGAAAGTCACATGACCCTGGGACACTGCAACCCTCACAAATATGAATTAGTTGCCAAGCATTTAAATTTTGATCATGTGACCATGGGGAAGCTGCAACGGTCGTAAGAGTGAAACACAGTCATCATTCATTTTTTTCGGTGTCGTTGTAACTTTGAATGGTCACTAAATGAAATGTTGTAAGTCGAGAACTACCCATATAAAACCGTCGCCAAGCATCTGAATTTTGATCACGTGACCATGGGGATTGCTGCAACAGTCATAAGTGTGAAACCCAGTCATAGCTCATTGTTTCACTGCCGCTGTAACTTTGAACCAGTGTTGGAATTAAATTTTTTTTACTACTGGTTCTGTGGGCGTGGAAGGATAATCTCCAGTCAGAGGTGATATTTGCTGGTTCTCCTAACTACTTAAAATTTCCGCTGCCGGTTCTCCAGATCTGGTCGGAACCAGATGAATACCACCTCTGCTTTGAACGGTCACTAAATGAAATGTTGTAAGTCGAGGACTATCTATATAAATCAG